AAAGGTGAAACCAATTCTACATGCAAGTGTGAAAGTAACAGTAATTGTAAGCAAGTCAATTTTCTTCATTTTACTAAATTTCCTCACCTACAAAATTAAAGGTTGGGGAACTAATTTTCTCTTAAAATACCCCTTAGTTCTAAAATTCTACATTTTGAAAAAATAACGTGTCATGGCAAACCATACACAAATAATGTTGAGTGAAAAAGACATCAAAACTGAACATATGAGTTCCACTTTGTGAAATGTACACAAATATGCGTTTGCTGAAGTATTTATTCCAAAAACTACGAATGCAGGGCACAGAGATAAAAACAACATAATATTAACAGTGATTCTATCTGAAGGTGGGAATGAGGCCATCTTTTATTATTTATGCTTCACTCTATTCCAAATTCTAGTCAATAAGCATATAAAGTCATCATGAAAAAGATCCAATCCTTTGAATCCAAGTTTCACATTCTGAATCAGATCTCTCTGGTCTCTACAAAATATAGTGCAAATCAGAGTTCTCTTATACCATAAGCCCAGTCTTACTTGGGGCAAAATAAAGGGAGGGAAACCCTCAACTTTGTTTTTCCACAGCTACTTTTCTCATATAGTCTGAAATCCCTTCCTTCCGCCCCACCTCTCCTCACAAAATCTCTCGGGAGTGACTGAACTCAAGTAACCCAAAACTGGAATTTCTGGGACTGGGTGGTTTTCAAAAATCATTGTATTGTCATCTCCCTACCTCTACACATGGGCCCAGAATTGGATTTCATAGTTATTTTCCCAACAAATTCTCACAGTAGTACTTAATTGTCTTTCTAGTTTTCTATTTTCTTAACTTTTTTTTTAAAGCATGGGCAGGCTATATCGGAAAAAGAGGAAAATAATCTGGCACCTGTGGAGGTGATGTCATTACCAGCCATGGCTCTGAACTGTCCCTGGAATGCAGCTTGCAGCTCGAATCTCTGGGCCCACCCAATGCTGTTTAATATAAAACACAGTCACCCTTGACTGTGTTCTCCTTAGGAAGCCCTGTACTTGCAACTTTTCAGCTTTAAACTTTTTGTGAAACACAGCATCAAATACTGTCAAGGATCATCCTCAGAAGGCCAGACTTCAGCAGCTTTAAACCTTTATTTAATATCTGGCAGGCCAGACAAGGACTAATTCTACATGCCTATCTATAGACAATCCCTGACTCATGATAGGCTATATTCCAAATGCCTGATTTTGAGTCACTGGCTTGAAAAAAGAACTATACATAACTCCCCAACACCAGATGGAGCAAGGACTTGATAGGGGAAGGGGTGGGCACAGTGGGGGAGTGAGACAGGGATGATAAAAGTGATGCTGGGGATAGAAGCCTCCATCCTCAATCTGTACAATGAGGCTAAGAAAATCTAAAGTAATGCAAAAAGTATTATAGAATAAGGGTTTCTTGGCATAAACAATAAATGTTAGCTACTGTTATTATTCAGCCCCCCCAAAAAAACAGTCATTAAAGGGTGTATTAATTTCCTAAACCTACTATAGAGTGTCAATAATCTGTAACACACCTGAAAGTAGTTGAAAACCATAAAATTTAACATTTCTAAGGAAAACATGCAATAAGGAGTTCCAACTAGAACACACAGAGGAACACGTGCCACTCCCCATTCGTGCTAGACAGTGTAATGAAGGACCCCTGCCCCCATCGTTCCTTTAGCGAGGAGCCCACCCAAGATGGGGTACTTGACAAGTGGATGGGAGTGTGAGTTTTAAGAGCCCACCCGGAGAAACCTAAGCTTCTGGCCAAGTCTCCCAACTCCCCACTGGGAAACGCCCCAGTCACTTCCCCCTCCCCTTTTTAAGAGCCACAGAATGTAGCGTGCTGCTCCCCACTGCCAATGCCTGTCCAGTATGGTCCCACAAAGGGAAACAAGACTCTCCACCACCCAAGTTCAGTCTAGAAAGCAACACAAGGCTTTACAACTTTCTATCAGCACCTTACTAGTCATAACAATGAAGAGATAAATGAGAAAAGCTTCAATATGTTTGTTTTTACTTATGTCATAAAGGCAAAGGCAAAAATCACACTCGGATGCCAATACTAACATTTTTATTTTATTTTTAAAAAAAGTAGTCAAGACAACAGAAGAAGGAAGAAGCTGCAACTCACATCTCCCAATTCCCAAGATTCTGCTTACTTGATCTTTTTATGGGACTTTGTTACCCTCATAACCCTCTAAAAATTAGTTAATTGTCAATTACCTGTTGCTGGTGATATGTTTTGTAGGCAACTCATAACTAAGTCCCAGAAAGCTTTATATGACCCAAAGCAGATCAAAAGTCCCCTCTCCTCACTGCCCACCTTTTACAGACTCACAGGATCTTCACAATGCTCTAGACCCTGGCATTTTTTTGTCGCGCCCGTCTCGCCAGCAAGGAAGACACGGCAATTGGAGTTCTTCTGACAGCGCTTTAATGGGGATTGCTTAGCTGGTTACATGCGGAAGACCCCGAGAGGCCTTAGGCGGCAGCTTATAAAGGCAGTAAGTACACTGGGCATAGTCTGATTGGTCAACATAGTCCGGGGGAGGAGACAACGCTTGGCACATGCGCTGAGCACTTGTTTGTCAGACTAACAGCAGGGCTTGACCAGGAAACGGGCGCCATCTTGAGATGGTGTTGCCACCGCGCCCCACATTTTTTCTAACCTACTTCCCTTGGTCTGACAGTGCAGCTAGGGAGACCCATGTTGGGCCAGAAGCTCAATCAATATCCAGGCCACACTGTTCCCCATCATCCCACAATGCTTAGGGTCTTGGGAGGGGGACCTGAATCCCCAAATTCAACATACATGATGCATCCCAAATCTAAACAGTTTTTACTTATTACCCATACTCCTGGCTCCTTTCTGCAAGGTACAGAGCAGAAGACTATGTGTGTCTCTGTGTGTTCTATTTAAAAAGCAAATTTCCAGTTATCCTGTTCTTCTCACCATCTCAGTTCCCCATTCCCATGGTCACACCCCAAGCACTGGCTTTCCATTTTTTCCAACTGTGATCCAGAAGAAAATATTTACATCCCAACCCAGTTCACAAAATACACAATAAATATACCCAGTTTTAATGGAAACAAAGTTTCCAAATGACTATGTGTGATCCACTCTGACCAAGACTAAAGCCTAAGCTTGGGCAGTTTGTGCGAAATCCAGCCCCAACCCTTCCACTCAGCCAGCCTTCTCCTTGCAAGCAGAACACCTCAGCAAGAAAAAAAGACACCTCCCTTTCCCTTTTTCTTTCCTCTCCCAAAGGGAAGCCTTCTTTTTTAATTTGCAGAGAAGTTCCCTACAGAGGAACTTGCTAGATGAGGCCTTGACTCTCATGTTGTTTATTTCATTTTTTTAAATGCCCTCTAAAATGATTTCTTGAAAAATGCTACCCTAGACCTATAACCCTACAATTATGTCAATTTCATGTATCCCAACTTCTGATTATCTTGTATCTTTGCAACTCAATCCCTCTTGAACCCCAACTCCAACAATTCTTTCACCCTGGGGCCCTTGTGCCACAACCACCTTCCCACTGTCTTCACATCCCCCTTCTTAAGCAAATTGGATTCAAGGGGCCACCATCATACCCTAATTCCCTCCCCTCTCTCCCTCCAGCACACTTGCCCTCTTCTTTATGGTTACATCTAACTCTAGCCTTACTTCAGACTTGCACCCAAGCAGCCAAACAAAAATAACCATGATAACTTTTCTCAATTTAAATTCATAGTCACAAACTTTAAATGAATCCTTACTAATCCCCAGAAATCCTACAAGATTTCCCTGCTCAACCCATACTCCCACTCTCCTGGACACCAACTTCACACCTGCACATAAAGCAAAAAAATTACAGACTCAAAAAAATAACACTATAAATTGGATGTTCTTATGTTCTCAGCCACAATTCAACTACGGCTGTCCTCCAATAGGGAAAATCTTAATATTCTGTCTAACAAACTCTGTGTTACAAAAAAGAAAAGATAATAGCCATTTAGGAAAAAAGAAAATCTGCCCCAGTACACAAGGCCCAGTTGCAATACTGACATAACCATTAAAGAAACAATATTTACTCTTGAAAAGTACTTTTGTTTTCTCCTCTTTTATGAAAATTTTGGTAATATTCTCTTAATTCTCTTACCAAAGTAAACCATATACAACTATGTCCTGCCTCTCTAATCACTGACAGGATAACAGTTTATTGTCCAAATACAATTTGTTCAACCATGCAAATACCTGTGCAATCAAGCATGCTCAATTTGCAAGGAACAAGTCCAATGGCATAGCCAAAAGTGATAAGTATGGGTACCCTGCTAGTCGCCCTTTTGCTGGAAGACACAGCTTTTCCCACAATTATCTCTAGATTGAAACCAAGTGTCTAATAAATGCTTTTATGTAATTCAACATAAAAACAGAATATGCACATTATAGAGCTGCTATCTATTCAAACCAAGCCACTAATGGTGACAGTAATTCATATAAGAGAAGAAACCCCAGAGTAAAATGGAGTTATGTCTCTTCAAATTCAAGGGCCAGTATAAGTGAAGTCTAAGGAAGGATTTCTGCCCAAAGAAGCCTAGCCCAGAATTCCAGGTGCTACAAGAGCACTGTCATCAGGCAATCACTGCAGGACTTTAAGGGCCATTTCTATCACTTTGAAACCCAGTTCTTCCTGATAGAGATAAAGAAAAAAATAAATGGAGGAATAAATAAAACATTTTTTTAAAAACTCAGTAGGGTAGTCTAAATTTAAATTCATATACAAACAAACAGGCAGATCATACTCAAGAACATGCCAAAGCTACCAGCCCTTCAAAGCAAGAAGATACTTAGCTTAGAGGAACCTCAGACAAAAAAAACGTTAAGTGCCACATACTTGCCTGTTAGCCTTCTAGCCTCACTCATCCAGACCTCCAGCATCAAAAAAGAAGGTGCACAGCAAACCACACCAATATGATCATGCTAACATAACAATTCTTACCTTCACTGACTTAGGCTCCTTCTTCAGCATCCTGACTTTCAATAATCCTAGCAACCATTTTCCATCATTCAGTTTTAAGACTGCTAAGGTGTTTGCATCTCCTTCTCCTCCACCATTCATTTGCTCAAAATTGAGGGACTGGATTACTATGTACTCGGCACTGTGCTAGGACATCATAGCCTAGAAAGGGACACAGGGAGTAAGCCCATGACCTCAATCCATTCTAAGAAATATCTGCATAAAGCAATATGCAAAACAGCGTAAGAGTAGAGGATGGAGTAGGGGTAAAACTGGAGCCATTCATGAAGGATAGAAGGAACAAAGAAAGGCAGTACAGACTCCCAAGTTCCTGCAAAAGCATCAAGTAGGAAAGGGAAGACAGCTACAAGTTGCTCCTTTCAACTTTTGCATTTAATCAAAATCACAAAGGTTAGGCTCAACAAGTAGTAATTGAAGTAATAAAAGACAAAAATCAATCAATTTCTCTTTTAACAAGATAGGTATTTTATAGAAGTTAGATTCAGAGGTCTCTGGTTAAGATTTTCCAAAAATTCTATTTATCTATTGTATTTCCATTTTCAGTTTACAAAGCTAATCAATCTCTGACTCTATAGATATGTACATACATATGTTTGTCAATCACAACTGCATTCTCTGGTACCCAATACAATTCTGAAAGGCACACTAGGACCTTTATCAAAACTGAGTTAAGTGAAATTTATCTTCGATGGGCATCCCTTTCATTCTTTGGCTTTTCTCCCACCCCAAGCCAAGGTAGTTCACTCTGAACAGGGAATCAACTACTATGGCTAACAGAATAGTACATAATAGATTAATGTGACCTCCCTAAGTCAGAATTGGGGGTGGGAGGTGAAGGTAGAAAGGAAGTGAAAGATAGAATCCAGTGTAAGGTCAACATGTGTTATTCAGCTTAGGGCTGGGAGAACAGAGGGATATCCTCTTCCTCCACCTCTAGAAGTGAGAATAACAACTTTCCCAGCTACCACTGAGTTGTTTTGTTAGCTAGCTCAGGGTTTCTCAACCTCTACACTACAGACATTCTGCCTTGTGGAGCTATCCAGTGAACTGTGGGAAGTTCAGCAGCATCACTGGCTGCTATACACTAGTAGCACGCCCTCAATTCGTGACAATCAAAAATGCCTCCAGACATTGCCAAATGTCCCTTAGGGAACAAGTATCACTCAGCCACCTCTACCCAGGTTTAATACCACTGTGCTAGATGATGAACATCAGGCTACTTATTAAATATACAATAAAGAAGAAACTGATGTTGATGAATAGAGCAAAATATTAAGAAAAAAGTTATGCCTTAACCAGCTGTTGCCTGCATTTTAATGAAAAGCTAATAGATATCCCCAACAAAAGAGAAAAATCAAAATTAAGGCCGACAAAGTAAAACAAAGTTTAGATCATTGAAGTAACAACGTCATTGTGTTTATATGGTGGTAACTGCTCATTCAGATCACAAAATTATATAAGATAATTAAGTACACATATACTCATGTATGGTGGGAATCTTCAACTTAAGAAAGAGCTTAGGCTGGGCATGGTGGCTGACACCTATAGTCCTAGCACTTTGGGAGGCCAAGGAGGAAGGGAGGAATTGCTTGAGGCCAATAGTTCACAACCAGCCTGGACAATATTGAGCCCCCATCTTTACAAAACAATTTAAAAAATTGCCAGGCATGGTGGCACGTACCTGTAGTCCCAGCTACTAAAGGGGCTGAGGCAGGAGGATCTCCTAAGCTCAACAGTTTATGGTTGCAGTGAGCTACAATGACCTCCGCTGCATTATAGGCCTGGGCAATAGAACAAGACTCTATCTAGAAAGAAAGGAAGAAAAGGAAAGAAAGCCTAGTGAAAACAGTTAAACTAAATCAAACCAAGTCTATCTTCACTCCACATATCTAAGCCCATTCTACAAGAATAATCTTTAACAGATTTTTTGGCTACAAAATGAACATATGGAAAACTATTTTGAAATAATTAGGAACACACAGATATGACTCTAACTTCTGTCTCCAATCACCTTCTAAGCTACAGGACACTTACCTTCTTCTAAGCTATTTTTCTTGTCCAGAGAAGAAAACGATATAACCAACGTAAGGACATCTGCATGATGGCTGGCACACTCTTTAAGTACTAATGAACAGCAATTATCAGTAGTTACACACAGTATTTTATAAACACACCTTTGATACAAAATGGAACACACTGCCCAAGTGAACTAAGAAGAAAACACACTTCTAATCAGTTAAAAAAAAATTGACAAAACTCATTTCTGTAAAATATATGCCTTGGATGTGAAAATTTACCTTCATTCTTAAGACAGAAAGAAAAATAAATAAATTACCACATAAGCACAGGGCTATTACAAAAGCAAAATATAAATGCTACCTTTAAGTACATTATTTCCCCACTTGTGCTAACTTCAAATATATTTCCCCAAACTTTTATCCAAATCAGCTAAAACACAATTTTAAGCAGTTGAGAATAACAATTCACTTTTTAAAAGAAATGTTCTATAAAGCCTAATAATCAAGTAGGGAGAAAAATAGAACACTTTCTCACACATACCCAGAGCCAGTTTGGAGTTGCTGTTTTTGCCTCACAGAAGTTGTTTTCCAGCCACAAGCTACTACAAATTGTTCAGACCTTTTGGCAGCAACACAGGAAAACTGCCCTTTTCACCCGTTCTCCCACAAAAACGTAGTCAATTTCTAGGCAAACCCATCTCTCAAGGCTACTTGCTTTATAGAGCCAAATGCACACAATTTTTCATTTAGCAGTAAGGACCCCAAATATTTTGCATTTTTGTGAAGAAAACTAAAAGCAAGTCACCAAAGACATATAGGCAAAGTTCTTCATTAAATCAGCTCATAAAGTGTGCTACACCAACATTTGAAATTTATAGGACCTTTGGAATCACAGCTGTTTCTGTTTTATCCAAATCGTCAAGGATGCAATAGGCAACACGTTGAAGCCATTTCCTGATGCTTAATTGTCCTTGGCTTCCCACTATTCTCAGATCCGGAGCTAAGTTTCAAATAAGCAGTTAAAATAGGTGTAATTTAAAAAAAAAAAAAAAAACCCACAGGCAACTCTCTCACTCACGACATCTTTCATTTGAATCTAGGATTTTTCTACAATCTTGTGGATCACATAAAAGCATCTGGGCAAGTCACAAGGATGAAACTGAAGTTCTTCTCAGTTTTTTATTCAGCTACACAAAATCAACCCACATTTTTCTCCTCTGATTATTTAAGGGAAGGTGAGGGCAGGAGGTGGTAAATTACTCAACAGCTGTAACATATTTAATTTCTAAAAATAAAGCCAATACTGCCTTTTAAACACAAAATTAAAGAGGGCCCTTTGGAAACCGGGAATTCCTTTGTATACCATTTGGCTTAAAATTTCAGAGACTGGTCATTTATTTAAAAAACAAAGAAGCCCAAATGGTTAAAAGGCATCTACAGTCACTCACAAAATGAAGCTGGACACTACCCTGTCCTGGTTGAGCTGAATACCAAAATCCAATCTGTGAACCAAGTTCACAATTCAGAGATTAAAAAAAAAAATCAAGCAAGTATTTCCCAGGAACATTTCTGTCTCCAAAAATGAGTTGAACCACAAACAAGTTCCAAAAATGACGCAAGGCAACTTCTCCAAAAGAGTACATACAATATCAGAAACTGTCCAAAAACCACATACACAAAAACGATAAGCAAAGGACCTCGATTGAATTACACAAGACCCACTACAGTTTAATTTAATGGAATATAATCAAAAGAATATTTTCCAGTCAGCGTCCAATATAAACACTAATTTAAAATATGCTCAAGTTCAGAACTCTTTTTCAAAGGTACACTTTCAATTACACCAACAAAATAAAGCCTATGGATTATACAACGAAGAAATCTGGAAGACAAATCAAGGAATTCGACTTAGAAATTAAAAGGAAAATGCTTGCATGTCTAGTCAGTAAAGAGACCAGGCTTGCCTATATCTAGATACAAAAGGCACATCTTGTTATTTTAGGTAATTTTTCCAATTTAAACTACAAGCACTAATTGTTAACATGCTTTCATTCACTGCTTGCCTTAACCAAATGTTAGTAAACCAGACTTTTATCTCTAAAATCAAAACAGTATCAAAGAGATTCCACATTATTGTTTATCAGTATCTTCAAAGTACATCTATAATTGTAAATATTAAAGAAAGTATGGAAAAGAGCAAGAAGAAATAGGCCTCTATGTTGGAGATTTACTCGGTAGGTTTTGTGTGCTGTTCAACACTAGCATAAAATAGCCTGCAAGACAATCACCAAAAAAGCAAAAAGACACATTTCTTGAGTTAATTGCCCATATCTTCACACAGCTTACTTTCAAATAAGTAAACGACAACGGAATAACTGGCCAGGGTATCCAGTGGTCTGGCATAAGGTGATAAAGCACTCAAGTTCACTGTTCAAACACAGGTTTTCTGGCCCATGTTAGGAAAACTTCAGCTTGGGAGTGATTTACTTTAGAATTGAACTAAATGGGTAATTAAGGAATCTCTGTATTCCTGTTACATTTTTAAATTTCTCACACTACAAAACCCATCTTAAAACTGAACTTTTTTTCTAAACAATAAAAGAGGTGAAAAATGTAGAATTGGTCATTGATTTCTGTTTGTTCTCATCCTACCTCTATCCAACATTCAATTAATATTTACTGCACAGCTACTATATTTAAAAAGCACACAGCTAACACTGAGGAGAGGTAAAAAAGTGAGCAAGACAGAGAGATGTATTTATTACCAACTAGGTTATGTTTGCATCTGTATTCACACACAGTAAGTTGAGGGTGTTTTGTTTGCTTGTTTGTGTTGTTTTCAAGTATGTCCGTGTGGTTTACTTTATTATATATGGCAAGAGCACAGAAGGCCCTTCATGTACCTAAATGAAAAACTCTGACATTTGGCTTCAATAAAGCCAGCACTTTCTTGAAGATGGGTTCCAGCTATGAATTGTCTACGTTTGTGTGCTGGAAAGGGTGAAAAGGGCAGTTTTCTGTGTTTCTGCCAATGGGCTTAACAATTCCCAGTAGCTTGTGGCTAGAGGACAACTTCCCTGAGAAGAAAACTGTTAACTTTAAAGACGGCCTAGGGTACTAGTGCAAGACAATGTGATTTTTCTTCATTCACACTCTTATTTTCTGTTATGCCTTTTCCAGAAGGAACAAGAATGGAATTTTAAAATAATTATGTTTTAAATGATTTTGCTTGTGAAAAAAATGTTTGAAAGTAATGCTTAACAATTTAATTGGAAACCAAATGTAACACACATCTAACTTTTGAGCACTAAATTCTTTCTCATGTTCTCTAGCCACAATTAATACAGTATAAGGTTTAGATATTGCCTTCTGGGTAGCTCTTCCTGAATTCATCTTGCAAATATTTAATAAGGACTTAATTAGCACTTAATAAGGAAACACACACACACACATTCCACCAGTCTGTTCACTGTGGAGAATACCAAAATGAATGAGAAAAACACAGTCCTTAAGAAACCAATGTAGTAACAAAGAGAAACAGAAAGGACAGAATTCTGAGATTGGAAGAGGTCAGAAAATCTGTGTTTTTTCCTAAATTCACTGGATGATTCTTGTACATATTAAGGTTTAAGAACTACCATATTAACAACAACAAAAAAAGCCCCAGCAACAAATCAGTAAGTCATTATTTATTTAAAAAGACTCACCGTTAGATCTCTAAAATTAGAAAGCCACCATAGTTTCATTTAAATACCACTTGTTCTAAACACTTCTCTGAACATGAATTTTTCAGGAATAAATCTGTTGCATAAGTGAAGTATACCTAGACATTAAATGGTCTATACCTAGACTGTTGGTTGGGAAAAAACTATGAAAGAATTTAACTAGGAATCAGAAAAGATAAATGCAAGTATCTACTGCTGCTTAATTTGAATCAGAAAAAAAAATCCTGCCTA